CAGTAAAGCCCAAGTTTCAATCTGGTCAGGGTACAAAGGCAGGACAATTCTGTAGCTACACATTTTCACATCCTTTTTTGATAGGTGCTTATAAAGTTGTAAACTGCATTGTAGAATTTTTGGGGGCAAGGATTGACTGGGTCTTAGACACCAACCTTTACCTACTCTGTGTAATGTTGTATTGTTTTAAACCCTGAAAATTATATCGAGGTGCCACCATGATAAATGTTTTTCAGCTTAATGTGAGCTAGCTTGTGCGTCTGGTTTTATATAGTGTAAGTTTTTTTTTTTACCTTGTACTATTTCTGGAAACAGTCCCTCTGTTTCATTTGTACATGACTTTTCCTTTTTCTTTTTAGAAACCACACATATAAATTGTGACGTAACACCCAGCCCACTCTTGCTGTCAGGCTTTTTGGATAACTATACAGGTAAAATCATGATTCTACCCTAGAATTGTCTGGTTTGCTCCCTAACGCGCATAGTACTTTAATGCTTCACATAGTCGGTGTATTTTATAATGAATCTGTATTATTAATTGATTTACAATAGTCTTCATGGCTGGATACAGCAGCTGCCTACCTGGTGTACTGCTTAGTAGAATAAGTAAATATAACCCCGAAAATCCTCTGATCCAAGGACCTTGCTGTCTGAATATACAGAGCAGGCAAAGGGAAAGGAAACAAGTACAGAAAAATTGATGTTTACAGTTCACCTCGTCCAGTCTGCCCACAAGAGCTGATCTCTTCCTTCCCTCCTCCATCAGAACGAACCAGTGCCCCGCAGTCAGGATTTGACTTGCCTAACAGATATACAGGCACAAGGCAAGGCATTAGGTTATGGCCAAAACATTCCCTTCAGGATATATCATAACCCTTAGTACCTCATGGAAACATGCACTAAGCCCATGCTGACTGTCCACAGGCAATCTTCATTGCTTCTGGCCTTCAGCAAGATACAGAAAGCAGGTATGATACAGAGCAGGGTTTTTTCCCAGCTGCTGTTGAAGCATTTCTTTAAAAGCTGTAAGGGTGTAGCTGCTGTGTCTGACTCTTGCATGGAGATAGAAAGGAAAAGAATCGCCTTTCACCCTGATTCCCTTTCATTTAATTTTTAAGCAACTAGCGCAAAGTCTGGCCCTTTGTGTGCGTCATATGTATGAGTATAGCTGCTGACATATCTGTAATGAGGGACATTACAGTATCTGCAAGAGACACAACCAGCTTCGATTTTTCCAAGCACTTCCTTTTGTCAGGCTTTCTCTGCTGGACAGAATCCTATTTCCGAGGCAGCTGCTTGATATTTCTTGTCTGAATATATCCAACTTTGTGTGGAGGATCAGGCAGTATGTCAGCAGGCAAAGATAGATTTTGTTTTCCTAGAAAGTTTTCTTCTAGCAGTTTCAACACTGCACGCTGAATAGCGTGGTGCCCCTGGAACACAGCCTGGTTGTTCTGTGTTTACTGTGCCATCTGACTGGACTTTCTCCTTACATGCAATTATAGTATCTTTGGGCTGGTAGCTGTCAGCATTCCGGACACTCCCTGCTGTTGGAAGAAGACAAGGTTGCCTTCCTTTAGGCCCTTAGAGACCGAGACCAAGAAAGAGTCTGCATGTTGTGATTAGAGATGTTACAGGAAGGGTTTACTGGCCTAAATTAGTAATGACGGAGTACAAAACCAATGGAGTAAGAAAGAAACACAGCTAGCAAGTTTCCTGATAGATAATGGAAAATATTTGGGATGTCCAGGAAAGATTTTGAAGGGGAGAGGTGATTAAGGGTTTGCAATCCAGACAATGTATGAGAAAATGTTATTTTATAAGATATGAGAAGGTAAGTGTTATCTTATAGGTGTTATTTCATAAACACAAATATCTTGATAATATGAGTAAGGTAACTTTAATCTGTTTAATAAAATTGCCAATAGCACCACACTGGATGGTTAAAAAGGATACCTTTCAAACACCCTTTCAAACACAGATTTGGTGTTTAACCAAGAAAGTAATACACTCACTACTGAAATGACAGTGAGTCTAATATGAATCATGATAATTACAAATAACAAGTTTAAATATGTTCAGGACAATAGTTCCTAAATGCATGGTTGTAGAAAAATCACGTTCAAATTGATTCAAAGGTTGCATTGCTTTGTGTTTCAGTGTTCTGTATATGTAAGAACAGACTAAAGGAGGGGCGAAACGCTTACCATTCTGTGCCAAAATCAAAATTTAAACAACTGGAAGCCTGAATCCAGATTCACACCAGATTCCGCCTGCTTGACAGATTCAACTAAGAGATATGAAATTCCCTTGTGTTTGGAAAATACTGAATCTCTTCCCACACAGCCCAAAACCAGCTGATTTTGGTTACGTTCTCTGGCTCTGATTAGACTTAAATTTTCACACTAAATGTGAAAAAAGTTTTTCAGCATGAAGCTATTTCCAGAAAACGGTGGTAATTTAGGTGTAAATTGCGCCAAGCTTTTTAATTCTGGACCTATTTCTACAGAGCATGAATATGTTGGAAAAAGCAGGTTTATGTGGTTTTAAAAACATATCAATACACTTGTGCATGGTACTTAAGGGGACCTTAACAGAGCTCACTGTTAGCTCAAAATGCCAAAATAATATAAAATGTAACCAAAAGGTAACCAGTAATCAAGTTGTCAATACATGTGAAATGAATCTATGGATTTCTTTTCCATAAAGCTATCTAGTTTATTATGCTTTCTCTTACAGGTGATATAGAATGGATTATAAATATCCCACCCAATGTGAATTTGAAATTAAAAGAATATCTGTTCCCTGAACACCTACCATATGTGGAGCTAGTATATTATCCTGGATCTAATAATGCAACAGTGAGGGCTGTTAAGCCACTGGATGTTGACATAATTGAGGTATTCTTTTCACTTCATGTAAAAACTAGTTATAAAGGTTTTATAGACAGGGGAACAAAAGTAGCACTATGTCATGATTTTTAATTGTTCGTTCCCTCACAAAACAGGTTGGTATTCCAAAAAAGTAACTCATCAGAAAGAGCAGCATAGACTTCAGTATCTGCCTCTCAGTAATATCTGTTAAATGTCTTCAGTTTCCAGTAACCGTCAACTTATCTGGGATCTGACAGACAGGTTCTTTTCCTCATCATGTATTGTCACTTGTAATGAAAGTTGTAAATACACAGTTATGACAGGTGTCACTTTTCTTAAAACTCCTCTCTCAGTAACATGAATTATTTCACCAAAGTGAGATTGATCAGATAAAATTTGGTAGAAGGCGATCCTTAATTGTATGAATATTTACATAAGTGCTTCGCTTTGCCCATTAATAGATCCATTGGCCTCTGTTGGTTGATGCACAAAAGGACAGGCCCTTCTTCCTAGGCCGTTTTTGCTCTGTAGGACTACCTACATATTAATGTTTTTCCTGGATGAAGTTGCCTCCAAATGTGAAAACAGTGTAGTTCTACAGAGTAAGTGGAGGCTATTTTTTATACAAGTACCATTTCAGTGTAGCACTATACTTGACAGAATTGAACCATACATATTTTAAAAACCACTGTTAGAATCAAGACTTCTAATTGATGAAAACGTATTTACAACTTTTACATTTGCATTTTTTATTTGGATATTTTCCAAATGGCTTAAAGCACTTTTTATGCTTCTTACACATGTTCTCCCATTTTCTGTCAATTTTCTATCAGGGAGACCAGTCAGGTACATAGATGGTGGGATCAGAGCAGGTAGACACCAGCAGTAGATGAATGACAGCCAAATAAACTTCACAATTAATAATCTGTAATGACTTTTCTATACAATATAATCAATACAACACATTGGAATTACAAAAATGTCTGAAATATGCTCCCATAACTGAATCAGATGAACAATTCACTGTCATCTCAGCGTGGCACACGTGAGGATTCAAATACCAAAATTGTTTAGTAGTATTTTGACGAATTCTTTGACAATCATATTAGGAGTTAATAGGTAATATTATTTATTTGCTTGTTTGGTAATTTTTAGAGTGACCATCTCTTTTATGCTGTTGTTTGCAAAAGGAATGGAATGGTAAGTAAAAGGCATGTTTTATCAACTGCATTTTTTTTTCTAAGTTTAATGGAAATTATTATTTTCTGAAATACTATTTCATTTAAAGATATGATGCAGGGGGTTAACAGCACCTTGTTGAAGATGATAATTAAAAAGTTATTTTTAAAATATTTTCAAAATCCTTCTACTCCATTATTAGAAATGGTAGTCTAACTCTCTCATTACAGTTTTTAGAACTGAAGTGGTGTGTCTCTGAAGATCTCATTTTGTATGATGAAATTAAATGTTAGCATTGTGCTGCTAGCTCACTGCTGTCATTTCTAACATGTCTTTTGCTTCCATTATGAAGACTAATGAGATAGAGAATGTACGGAACTTAGCCTTAGAAGACATAAATGACAATTCTCCACGCTTTCTAGAAACTCACTATAGTGCTTCAGTATCAGAGGTGGGTTATGGCAAATGTTATTATTTTTTCTTGTGATATTTTAAAATTAGTTTCTGGAGCCAAAACATATGAGGTTCTAATGTGACCACAGTCACATGGGGAACTTTTCTACACCTTTGCATGGGTGTGGAAATGGCTGGGCTATGTGTACAGCTGGAGGCATGGGGTGAAGAAGAAACATTCAGCTCTCCAATCTAAAATGGAAATTGGAAATAATTTGCATATGCTAGGGAGGTGGCATAGCTTTCCTGATGGAAGTTAGGAGGGATACCAAAAGGGGCTTGTGACTGATGATCTTTATTTCCTCCAGGTGTCTCCAATAAATTTCACAGTTATAAAAGTGGAAGCTGTGGATAAAGATTTTTCACCTTTTTTGAGCCTCATTACTTACAGTCTTTCGGTGAGTGCCCTTTGCTTGTCAGAGATTGTGAACACCACTCTACATTTCATACAAAATACAGCCTGGGACCTGATCTGAGTGTGTTATCTTGCACTGTGCAGTTACTATTACAAATCTGCAAAATGCTAGCATCAGAAAGACCATTTAAAATTAAAACTTAAACCACAGGATCAGCCTAGCATGCAGTAAGCCCTGAATCAAGTTTCTTAACATTCGTGAAATATTTTGTGGAACTCTTCAGCTACAGCTAAGGAACTCCGTGGTCCTTTTAAGAAGCAGGAGTGAAACAGTTTCCCCTCTTTTTAAAGTTCATATTTGATTTGCTGTTGATCTCCAGTCCTGCGGAGATGTATATGTAAGCCACCTGAAGGAAGATTGTTTCCACTAACTTTAGATATCTGTAGTGGAGATCTTCACATCTGAGCTTGCTGTGTCTGCTCCTTTTATAGCTGGTGAAGGGAAGCCCATGCCATTCATCTGATCTGCTTTAGTTAGTGACTGTAGGCTGAGATAAATCAGATAGAAAGTCTAATGGGACTGATGGGAGAGGCAATAGAATGTGTTGAAGAGGATCAGCATTTTCCTTTCCAGTGGTGCTGTTTGAGAGATTCCTGGTCCTTTATGAAGAATAGTCCAATAATAAAAGTGGTAAGAGGAAAGAAAATGTATTTCATTGTTAATCATGTAAAACAACGTGATTTATTCATTGAATAGGGTCCAAACTCCGATTACTTTTCCATAAAAGAAGGAAATGGAAACATCACGGTGAACAAAACACTGGATTACAACAAGATCAAAGTTTTCAATTTAACAGTCCAAGCAAAGGTATGGTATAAATTAAAAGAAGAATGAAAACCACAGTAGTTCTACAATGATATTTCCTTTGTTACGACATTCCAGTTTCTACAAATTTAGAAGTTAGGGAGTTCCCAAGCCAAAAGTTGTGTCTGCATCTTGGCTTACACTGCAGATGAAGTAGCACATTCTTAATATTTGAACCATTGTTTAAGTCTCCCCTCAATTACTAGCCCAAGTTTCTTTCTGTGTGTATATCTTTAAGTATGTATATTGTACTTAATTATTATCTGCTATTCTAACATATATTCACCTATTCATTTGGGTGGATCTATCCTATTTTTGCTGCATCTTACCACCTGCAGTCTTTTGTTTGTCTTTTCTGAGATTTGAATATATATTTACCTTCAATTCCTTTTAGGAGTAAAAAGAAGTAAATTTTGCCACATTTTATTGTGGTATCTAGCAAATAGTACAGCTGCAGCAAATGTACTGTTACTATGTTCCATGTGCTACTGGGTAACGCCTGCCTGATATAAAATTAATAACTAAGAACAATTACCTTTTGTTAGTATTATTCCTAGAACTGGTTTTCTAGAAATGGAAAAATCTGACAGGGTGAAAGTTCTCAGGTTAAAAAAATGCTTAGACAGTACAAAGCACATATAGTAATATTCTACTGTATTTTCCACTAAGAAATGTCTCTTTCATTACAATGTTTCTTATTTTCTTCCTTCTCTTGGGTTGCAGGAAAAATTTGGAGACAACAGTGATACTGCATCGTTAGTAATTAATGTACAAGATTACGATACATTGAACCCCTATTTCAGTCAATCGGTGTACAATGGAAAAATCAGGGAAGAGGAGGTAAAAGCTTTTCTCTGAATGCTGCAAATGTACATAGGTTATTCCTGTCCACAGTGCTTTTCTTTCAATGTTTCTTCTTCACTGAGCTGCTTAAGATGGGAGGGCTGCTTTGTTTTGTGCTAACAGGTGAATTGTTAAGGTTATCAAATGTAGACTTTCATGTACCAGGTAAACAGGCCGCCTTTTCTATGAAGTGTAAAACTTGTTGCTACAGAAACAGATTCTTTTGTGCTTGGAGGGGAAAAAAAAGAAAAGAAAAAAGAACTAAACAGGTGTTGTAACACGGCTTTTACTGTAAACTTGGAAGGGCGGTTGACTGCCCATCAGTCCTGGAGTTAGCTGTCAGGTTTCAGTTTCAAACAACATAATTCATTCATACTTCATTACAATCAGGTAAGGAAAATAAGAATCTGAACAGCAAACTGTGGTTAATATTGCACTGTAATATCTTTTTGTTTCTATATAGGGTGGAAATTTCTGGGTGGAATGTATTTGTTTAATTCTGGCTTCTGTATGTATTGACCAAAAAAACCCAACAATTACAGTATCGAATTGCCAGAGTAATCCCGCTAAAATTTAAATAGTTAATTATCTTCTTTATTGTCCCTATTTCTTTATCTTCATGTTAACATATTTTAAGCCACATATGCTTTTGGTGTTATACCTTCGGTGCCCCTTTTTTTAGAAGTTCATCTTTAAATTGTCTGAAAGGAGTAATCTTAGATCTTTTAAAATGTTTTTGTCTTTTAAATAAATTACTGTTTTTATTAGGGCTGCAGTGTAGACTTGCATATTGTTTTCCAGGAGAGGAATGGAACTCAAATGCTCAGTGTTCTTAACATAAATTCTATCAGTGACTACTGCTTCATATTCTGGTGTTTCTCAAAGTGTATCCATCAAGTATTTTGGTCATCATTTTCCTCTGTAAAGTGTGTATGCAAGGCAAAGAGAATATTTTCTGGATCCTAGTGATTAAATACGTGTTTCTTGTTTCTTTAATCAAAATTGTGACTGACTTAATGAACAGTTTTAGGTTTATGTGTACTTTTTTCAAGTTAATCACGTTAATATATGTTTTTCTAGTTAGGTCCTCTGGCTATTCTCCCAGAGGAGATATTGGCTAAAGACGGAGACACAGGTATAAATGAAAAAGTGGTTTACAGCATCAAACTAGGTAAGAGCCTTTATTTTCTTCTAGGCATTCACACAGTAATTTATGATGTCTGTATTACTGAAGAGAATGATAAGAAAGTGTGATGTACAGTCAGATGCCTTAATGGCTTACATCTTCACTACAGTGCTGCTCTGCAAGCTAAATCGGCTTAATTTCAGTCATTATAGCAAGGTCCAACTATTTTTAAAATGTTTAGATGTCCTTAATCTCCTTTCAATAAACAATTCCTGATTCAAAGTGTAAGTCAGTTTAGAGGCTTCCATTTGATCAAAGGATTTCCATTCAGGACCATCTAGAGAGATGAATTCCATCAAGAGCTTTTCCTCCTGACAGAATTGCTAAAAGCTCATGAGATGCTTAATTTGAGACCCTTGAAGTGTGAGTGAATTTCCTAAGAATTGTTCCGAGGACAGAGTGTTTGAAAAAAAGCCTTTTATCTGAAATGGCTGTTCATTTTTTCTATAGCTGAGAAGATAACAGTCATAAAAAGGACAGATCAGACTTACTGTTCTGGTTTATTCTCGTTAACCCATTGCCATTTGTTGCTTTTCAGTGAACCCTCCATCCTATAGCAACGCCTTTTCAATCAACGCGGACACAGGAGTGTTGGAAGTAATGACTGCAGTTGACAGAGAAGAATGTCCGTCTCTTCTTGTGGGCATTCAGGTAGTGATTGTTTTAGAGTTCAGTGCGTTAATACTGAGTCTCAATTTCATAAAATAATACATGAATCCATGTTGGTGTTAATAGTATTTCTCATAGTAATGTTAAAGGGCAGTTGGTATCAAGGCTCCATCCTGCCATTTAAAACACTAAATAAAGGAAAACTTCATACATTGAATATATGTAGTCATGTCATGTCCTTGTGTTTAGTTGGAATGGCTCATTGTTATCGGGGTATGGAATTTACAGCTATAAACTCTATTTTCTAGGCAACTCAGCAAGACAATATTTTCAAAACAGCTGATGCAGTAGTGCTGGTTACTATTGAAGATGTGAATGACAATTATCCAGTATTCTCACAATCAAGTTACAATGTCTCAATTCTAGAAAATTTCCCAAATGGGATGGAAGTTCTTCAAGTAACAGCTATTGACAAAGATGAGGTAAAATGAAAATGTCGTTTGGTTGCTACAAATACTGCACTTCTGAAATATAATATAAAATGCATTTGTGTTATACAGGTATAGCAAATAGTGCTACAGATTTATTTTTTTTCTGACTATCTAAATATGCTTAAGCAAAACAAACTTAATTTCACTTCTTTAAGGGGTAGAGTACTGCAGCCAAAGAATAAATTTTGGCTGTCTCTGAAACTCCTCTGCTTTGCGTAAGGTCCGAAATATGGAAGTGCAGAAGTGCAAAATGGACACAAAGCTGCAGGTTGCCCTCAGACTGCGTGATATATTTCTTCCATGTTGTTTTTGAACCGTAACCTCAATTAAACCAGAAAATTAAATGCTCTTCACCTGGAAAATAAGAAGAAAACATCCTAAGGGACTTGGCTCAGTGATCATTGATTTAATAACAAATATCATTACTGTCTGCAGGGAGGCTTCCAGGGAACATTCATTCTCGCTCCAGCTGACAGTCCCTTCCAGCTAAATCAAACTGGGATCCTAACTGTGAGGAACTCCACGCTGTTGGATAGGGAGAGAATACCATCTATTCACCTACAGGTATTAAAAATAAGCCTACTCCTTTCCAAAGCAGCCCAAGGCAAATAGGTTGATATCTGAGCTGCCCTGGCATGAAGCTGACTCTGATACAGATCAGCAGCTTCTTTGAAGACTCAAATCCAGACTACCTGGAGGGAAATACCACTAGTGACGCAATTTACTCAGCTTGTAATTGTTGTTTATCCTTCTTACTACTTATAGAACATGCACTTGAACAAAGCAATCATTTTACTGCATCATTTTTAAAGGTCACTGCTAAAGATCGTTTGTCACCTTATGGTGAGGTACACTCTACAATCAACATATTGTTGCTAGATGAAAATGACAACAGCCCAACCTTTAGAGGCACGCCATATAAGCAAGATATTTTCATCAACATGACTGCAGGAATGTCCATTCTTCAGGTACTGATAGTATTAAGTAAAAATGACATTTTAATGAGTTGAATATATGCGGAAGTCCTTGCTTGAACTTGTGTAGTGGTCCTATTGAATAGGGGATCTTTTCTGAACTCTGAGTTCAGAAACAATCCACCTTTCATTTAAAAGCTTACACCTGTTGATATTCCATAATCACAGTGTCCTGGATGCTCTAATCGTATCCCAGGTCAGGGAACAAATGATAAAGGATTTTTGTTCTTCATCTTAGATGCTGTGTACCATCCCGAATTCCACAAACATAAGACAAAAATTAAGATTCTTGGATTTAGTTGTTGTAAGGTGTTTAATGAAAACTGAATGTTGTTAGAGTCCAGAAATTTAAATAATTGTAAAAATTTTTGAAATGCTGCTGAATGCTGATAATTTTTAGATACAATATACTTTTTGTAAGAGAGTGTAAACCAGTTAACCAAATAAAATGGGAAACCAAGACAAAGATTGCTTCAGGAGCTGAGATATATAGGGAGTCACTATCAAAACTCATACCTGGGTGTACTGCTTTGAGGGCTCCTGATGTAATCTCTTGAACAATCTACCTCCAGTGCCTTTGGAATTACTATGAAACAAGCTTTTTGAGATCCAAACTAGGTGTCGTTCACATGAGTTCCACAGGGGCAGGATTTCACTCTTGCTGCTGGAGCAATATTGTGTGTGCATCAAAGAGCAAACATTCTTACTGAGGTTTAACCCAGGAATTGTATAGGAAGTAGACAGTCAGTCAGTTACAGGTATAACCGAATTTTACTGTGGCTACATTTAGCAGATTTTTATATATATAAAATTATCCAGACCTAGTATTTGCCATAAATGAGAGGAAAAACCCCCACAACTACTTCCTAATTATCTGCTACAACAATGATTTTCTCCAAAAACTACACAAGAGTAATCAATTCTGTGTTACTTAAGAACAGCACAAGAAACTAGAGTAAAATTATTTTTTTTTTCTCCAGGTTGCTGCTGATGATCCGGATGATGGTATAAATGGAGAGATAAGATTTATCTTAGCTGGTGGCAATGAAGATGGATACTTTGAATTGGATGCATCCACAGGACAAATCAGTTTAAGAACAGTAATCCCATTAGGACTCAACCAGCTTAAGAACTTTGTCTTGTGGGTAACAGCTGTTGATGGTAAGACAAGATTTTAGTACAGGTCAACACAGCTATTCCCAGCGATGAGTTTTGGTTTTGTTTTGTTTTTTGCTTGAAGGAATGCTGTCAAAATAGGTTCCCAGACTTTATTTTAAAAATACTGTATATTTTTATCTGGTCTTGTTAGTTGAAGATAAGAAGAAAGCTGTTTTATTAATCCAAAGTAATTGCTGCATCTCTGCTGATGCTGTTATATCAAATCTAAGGGGTTTTTATGGCTGTGGGAAGAATGTGCAAAATAGCATACATCTCACAACTATTGACTGGTGTTGCACAGCATAGAATACAGAGATTCAGGCACGAGCTAGGAATGTATAATTCAATCATCAGGCAGCAGGGAGTAAAATGAAAGTAAAATGTGATAAGTAACTTGGTCTTTCTTTGCACATCCATGTAGCTATTGAAAAACTAAAATGGAGATGCCAAAGCCATTTTTAGGATGACCAGCACAAACATAATTTCCTTAGCCATATTTATGGAGGGTTTCTTTGTTTTCAAAGAATAACAACAGAGAACTCTGCAAATGTTTGTCATGTGAATAAGGACAGAGATAAGTGTAACCTAGGAATGGTATTCCACTCCAGGTAGCATGAGCATGCAAAGTGGTTTTCAGCCTCCTGATTTGGTCAATACGAGCTCTGTGTCTTCAAATTTGTGGCCCTGTGGATAAAATGGATACTGGAGAGAAAGGAGAATATGGTTACAAAAGAGACTCATCAGTCCATCCTCTGTCTGTGTATTGTTGTATGTGTTCAGGATCATATATTGTGAGTGTAACACCCAATTTGTGAAACTCTGATCTTGGCTAGGGCCTCCCAGTAGTACCATAATAATAGCAGTAAGGATTTAAAAAAAAAAAAAATCGGTACCAGTGAAAAATTGGTAGCTTTTTTTAAGAAGGTGGTATTTTGTGCATCTGCAGTGAGGTTGTTTTCTTTTGCTTGCAGGTGGGACAATTCCAAGAAGTTCATCAGTGCCAGTACAAATCTCTGCAGTTGGAGATTCCAGACCACAGTTTATTCAGAAGACATATAATGTGTCTGTGGACGAAGAGCTAGTCAGTCCTGTTGAAGTAGCAAGAGTAAGAACAACTTTATTCTATCGCTTATATATGACATGACAGACGTAAGAAAATCCTGTAATATATGTAATCTATGTCTATAGCCCCCTGAGTTATGGATAATTAGATGTTGTGTTTTCTTTCTGCCTATCAAGCTTCACATACATTACATACTGATCACATTCCTCAGATGAAGCCTATCACCCGTGAAGCCTATTCCTTCCATTGCAAATCTTTAAATGGCATCTGCCACCATTTAACATTAAAAAGCTAAACAAGAACTAAAAAAACCCTGAACAACAACAAAAAAAAACTAAACCAAAAACCTCAAACAAAGTAAACCCCAGATGTGCTTGGGAAAGTAAACCTTCACGCTTAGTTCTGCGTCCACTTTGGACGTTCTCCAAAGCCTATAGTGGCCCAAAGGCTAGGATAGGCAATATTCACTCATTTGGTGATGATAAATTTAAAACCCTGTGACGTGATACAGCTAGGAAATGGAGACTTCCTGTCAGTGACCTGTCATAAATACGTTTTCAAAGAAGGCTCTAGAACCTGCTCCTCATTTTGATCAAAAAGTGCACAAACAAGCCACCAGAATGCACTGTGATAGCACCTTATTAGATGCAGTTCTGAAGACAGATGGGAGGTCTGATACCAAAGCAGTGAGAAGATAATGCGCTTGCATGTGTTAATTTTTTTACTTCCCGAGTTAATTATTTTTTCACTTTTTTGTACAAAGAAAGGCAGAACCAAAGGTTAATATGCAGCCTATTATTTTTATTATGTATTATATGTAGTCACATTTCTGTATTGTGGTATTCCAATAAAAGGCAGTCCTCTCCAGCTGTATTTTTGTGTATATTGTGGCTTGATTCTTCCTCTTTTTAATGAATTGGTCAAATAAGTTCAGATATAGTTAAAACCGTTACTCCTTTTTTAGATACTGGTTTATTGGTTTGAATTCACTTAACGATAATATGCTTTATCTTACACAGGTGGAGTATGAGTCTTTAAATCCCCATGTACCAGTTACGTTTCAAGTACTGACGGAATCTGCTACATTTGACATCGATGCCAATGGAATCATCTCAACAAAAACCAAACTGGACTATGAATCCCAGAATAATTATATACTAAATATTTCCTTGTCAGATGGAAATGCTACTGACTATGCTGCAGTGTTTATCAAAGTTACAGATGTCAATGATAACCGTCCTGTGTTTGATATAAACAGCACTACTGTTACCATTCTAGAGAACATGCCAGCTGGAACTAGTATTACCAGTGTGTCGGCTACAGATGTGGATGAGGGCTTTAATGGGTTAGTGGTTTATACTCTGAAAGGTGGAGAAGGAAAAATAGATATTAACACTTCAGGATTCATTTTGCTGGAAAAGGTATTGGACAGAGAAACACAAGGCTTCTATAACTTAACAGTGATTGCCAGTGACCAAGGCCAACCCATGCTGTCTACAGCTCTTAATTTGACAGTCATCATTGGCGATGAGAATGACAACCCTCCAATCTTCTCATCAAGTAGATACGAAGTGAGTGTACCTGAAGACGAAGTGCTTGGAAGGTCACTGCTGACAGTAGCTGCTACTGATTTGGATGCTGGGGCCAATGCTGTCGTGAAGTACAGAATTGTTAGCCAGCAACCTCCAACCTCCTCGCCCGTGTTTCTTATCAATTTGACCACAGGCCAGCTCAGCCTGAGCCAGCAGCTGGATTATGAAACCATAAAGCAATTTGAAGTAGAAGTGGAGGCATCAGATGGAGGGCAGCCAAGTCTCAGCGCTAAAACGCGTGTTGTTGTGCACGTCCTAGATGTCAACGATAACCCACCAGAATTTAATCAGGCAGCTTATGATATATTTGTGTTTGAAAACCAACAAAAGGGTAGCCCTATCTACACATTCAGTGTTACTGACAAGGACGAGGTAAGTACCAAATTAATCTCATCCTGAGAAATCAAAATGGCATGGTTTTCCCTATTAATCTGCAAAAAAGCACAGTAGTAGATGGGCAAAGGGAGATTTCTGAAATGGTTGGCAAAGACCACATTTTGGGTGACAAAAACTTCACCTCGCTTTCTACAGAGCCAGCAATAAAACTTCCTTAACCAAGGAAGTTAAGACCTTGTACAAAATAGTTTACTGGCTATATCGGAGAAGGCTGTTAAACCTTGCAAAGCACTTGTACTTCTGTAATTAGAAGTCTTATAGAAATGTCAGGTATTAATATTAATAAGATGATTTTTTTAACTTAAATATTCATCATTTTAATCTGAAATGAACTGTGTTTTCTCTTTAGGCTGGCTTTTCTCAGGGACACTTCATTTATAACAGTACTTTGTTTACTGTGGATATCCCCGGAATACTTTCATTAAGGAATGACACAGAACTGGACAGGGAGACTACATCTGGATTCACTTTACAAGTAAATTTAGGGACAGACTCCGTAGCTTTGGCTCATTTCTACCTCATTCCCTCAAACCCTTTTTTTTGTATCCTCATCAGATGGTTAAAATGGCAATACAGTCAATTAAAATTCCATTTTTATTTCTTTCTTTGGCAGGTGTGGGCAGTTGATGCTGAAATAAATGGGCTTAATTCAAGTGCCTTGTTCCACATCACTGTGCTGGATGTCAATGATCATAACCCCGAGTTTCAGATGCAGCCATACAGTTTTACGATTCCGGAAGCAGATTACGTGTTGGGTACTCCTGCTAGAGTTGGACATGTGACTGCTACTGATTTGGATGAGGGAGAGAACGCACAAATTACTTATTACTTATCAGCTGAGGATGGGGATAATCCATATAGCATTCAACAGGTAAGGGTTTGGATTTGCTAAAAATAATATTTAGATACTGCTTTTCATTAAGCTACTTGACATAGTAAAATACATCAGGTAAAAAGAGTAGGCAGTAACCATTCTAGGACACATGAAACTAAAACTAGCATGTGCTCTGTAGTTTGAAATATATGTCAATGTCTGGAAACTAAGATGTACTAGACGTTGCTTGGAGTCTGAACTATATTTGTCCAAAGGAGAACAGAGGATTTCAATCCCTCATGTCTTTTGACAACTCAGTGTACAAGAGGTATCAAAATGATCCATGTGTGAACTGTTTTACCTTCTCTAGGATGGGACCATTTTGGTTAATGGCTATGTAGACCGAGAAACTAAAGAGAAGTACGAGCTGCTGTTGGTAGCATCTGATAACGGAGTACCTCAAAGGCAGGTAATAGAGAGGAACATGTTATTCTGTATTTGCAGCTTCCTTTTATTCATAAATTTAAGTGTCTGCCCATTTTCTGAATCATGGTTTTCTCCTGTCACACGTCAGAATTTCACGTATGTCAGCATTCAAGTGTTAGATGTGAATGATAACCCTCCTCGGTTTACAAAAGCACAATACTCAGCCAGCGTACGTGTAGCAACAGCAAAAGAAGGACAGTCTCTACTATCTGTGTCTGCTACTGACCTTGATGTTGGTGACAATTCTGTCATTTCGTACAGGTAAATTTCTGTGAGCTTAGTAAGTATTTTTTGTTTAAAAAACAGAAGGGTATTTTTATTTCTCACAAAGTATTATTATTGGTCATGAGAAGGTAAGATCTGTTCATAGATATTTTACAAGCGCTACAATCAATAATGATTTTTAAACTTAGGAAAAAAGAGTCATTACTCTGTGTTTTAGAGCTTATCAAATCATGATTACACTATTAGAAGGAGAATACAATCAAATGATAAATTTAGCAACAAGAACCAAAAGCCAAGATTTGTTTGAATTTCTAAAATTTAGTATAATATGTTGGAGTTTGAGCAGGAAGTAAATGAATCTCCAAGAACGACTGTCTTTTCACACATCTTCTCTGTACTGGGAGGAGGAGATCAAGAAATACTGACTTTCCTAATGCACTATGCATAAAAAAATTAATCAAGAAAGAATTTTGGATGAGCCAGGAAATTATTTGGAAAATACCAGGATACCTTGACATGAAAAGTATAGATTGAGAAGGACAGACGAATGAGACGGTAAACTGTGGGTGTTTAAAACTAGGGTCTTAAAAGAGAATATTTTTAACCATGAGATGGCATTGTACCTTAAACACGTTAGTTTTTTGCATGAGCAATCCAGTTATCTGTGAGAGTTTGCAGAACACTAGGAATTAGCAGGTCTGCAGGCTTCAAATAAATGTCACCTGGACTTCTCATATTGCTGAATATGCAGCTGAGTGTGCGGTATCTGCCTTATATTTGTGGGAAGATCAAAGGTTTGGGATATAATGGGAACTGAAGGCAAGAATGCTGTCTTTTTTCATGATGGAAAACATACTTAGAAATAAAAAGGCTAATATATATTTAGGCTACTGACACAGCAATTAAAACCCGTTGCTTAGCCATTCTTTATAAGCAGGCAAATACTGTCTGTTGAGTGCTTGTTACAGAAGTAACAGTAAGTAGATGGTACTTCCAATGTCATTAATATGAATGTTATACTGATTTCTCTTTAATACAGGCTCATGAACCATTCTGATGATTTCCGTATAAATAACCACACTGGAGAAATCACCCTCAGCAGTAACTTGGACCATATCACAGCTGACACAGTTGTTACACTGATAGTTATTGCTGCTGATCACGGAGTTCCTCAGCTTACATCGGATGGTAAATTTTGTCCCCCACCCCCTATAACATAACCTTTGCAAACATTGACATTTGAAATTAATCCCATCGCTGTCAAGTCAAAATGAATTAGGGCTAAAATTCATGTTACATTTCAGCAATGATGAATATTTGCTTTTTACACTTTGTTTTCTTCCTAGATGATCGTATTAAGAGAAAGCTTGGGTTCATAATTCTGGTCAGAAATACAATTTTGTAGTTCTTGCAGTGGTGCTTATGGTACAAACCCCAGGACTTCACAGTATTAGCCACTCTAAAAAGATGTATTAAAATAATATTGATAATGTGTGTTTCTCTTTCAGTTTTCCTTTATTTTCTTAGAATTAGAAACATTTAAACAACTGACAAATAACTCTCCAACAAGTTACTGCTCTTTGAAAAAATATTCAGTCACATGGTATTTTCTGTAACTTCTTAATGTATTTTTAGGGGTTAGCTTTGATTTATCATGAACAGGAGAAACAACTGTTTTTCTTAAAATAGGACGAGTGGCCACGACAGAATTTGCACTCATATGGTTTTATGTATATCCCTCCTCTTTTGGTACAAAGCAGTTCAGTGTAAGATTTTTAAGGAGTGGAAAACACCTGCATATCCCTTTAACTTCAAATTGGTGATCCTTGCCTTCTTATCATATTGAAGCAACACTGCTGTGATCAGTGAAGTGAGGTTATTCTGGAACATTAGTTAAGTATTAAAAGGCATCGTGTTTTATGTGTTACATAGTAATCCTTATTGCTATTGATTTTATTTATTTTCTTCTCATTCTTCTTTCCTGCATGCTGGTTTCTGTCATTTTCTGTTAGTTCCTCAGAATTTAGGGAAACAGAGCACAGATCATGGTTATTTTAGCAGCAATTTCACTCTTAATTTTTTTTTTTTTTTCTCTCATTAGCCTCTGTTACTCTCTACTTGCTGGTAAATGATGTTAGCTTTGGACTGACTTTCGATAGCTCCAGCTATGAGTTCAGCATTCAAGAAGATGAACCAGCTGGGGCTGCTGTTGGCTCTGTGAAGGCTCTGACTGGAAGCGTAGCCATACAAGTAGCGTACTCCCTGAAATCTCATAGCAATAAGTTCTCTGTTAGTGACCAAGGAGACATCGTGGCTCTTGCCAGGCTAGACCGAGAAGAAAACGACCTATACAGCATCATTGTAGAAGCTGTTGATTCTGTGGTGCCACCCAATACAGCTGTTGCTTTGGTACAGTATAACACATTTTAAAATACTTTTTTAAAAGGAATATAAAATATTTTTCAAAATATATTTAAAAAAAAAAAGCAATATCCAGATAAGTGTCATCTGTTATGCAAGCATGAGGATTTTGAGAGCCTTTCAGTTAACGTCCCTTTTTTTTCCACAAGGAGATACTGCCATCTTGAAATATTGTCAACTTCACAAATTACATCACTTCCTGAGAGTTCCTCTGTAAACAACCCATAACCAGAGAAACTGATTAACACTGAAACTCATTCTGTGCATAGTTCTGTCAAATGCATGAAGTGAGCCAAAAACCCCCAGATTATTAATCCCGTTTGTCTCTTCGAGTTATGTTATCTGGCTTGTAACAGTTGAGAATAAAAAAAAAAATTGCTGAGATGCTGAAATGCTGAAAATGCTGAAATTATGTATCCCTTTGGTTTTTGTGTTGGGGTGTTTGGTTTTTTTTCCTTCTATAGGCTTCCATAGATTAAGATGAATCAAAATTCTCCTTTGCATACTGTTTCTACAGCTCAAATGTGTGTCTTTCCCCTACCACCACTTTATTATTTTTTTTTTAAATACAGGTAACTGTAAGAGTAAATGACATCAATGACAACGCTCCAGTTTTCTCAACACTGGTTCAAACTAAACTATCAGCTCCTGAGAATGCAACTAGTCTAGACTTGGGCGTATTTTCTGCTACTGATCTGGATATAGGAGTTAATGCACTTATAAGCTACTCTCTGCAAGACGATTTTGCTGGGATGTTCCATATTAACAGTTCTACTGGCAAGCTGATGACAAAAAAATCCTTAGACAGAGAGATGATGGACAGTTACAAATTGAAAATAATAGTAAGTTGACAAATTTGATGCAAGTTCACAAAATTCTCAACATAAAAAAGAGAAAATACCAAATCATCACAAGAAAAACAATCTTTGTGAATTCCATTAAAATTCATTTATGAGTTTCAACTGCTGGTTATGTTTTGTATCCAGAGCTTTGTTTTCTGCTGTGTAAATTGGTATTAGTGAGTACATCACTTGTGAACATTAGACCTTAAAGGTCATAGTTATATGATAGCTTACTGTGAAATCTGCAAAGCATTCCTGAGACCATTTAGGACCATGCAGCTGCCATACTGCTGTATTGCTTTTACTGCTTTGCCAATCTATATTATTTGTCCCTTTCCCTTATTATTTTTTTTTTCATTTTTCAAAATATATGTACTTAGACCTATTTAAAATAGCTGAAAAACAGATTTCTAGGTTAAAAAAAAAAAGTGAAAGCATAAATTTTATCCAACATTCATGCGGGTATCTATTTATTCTAGCTGATTTCATTGATTTTTACTGATATTAATCAGCTAAATTATTGTGCATACAAAGTGTTCCAGCACTGGTCATCATGTACAAATATATTTTGAGGAGACCTTTACTGCTAGAAAATAATTTAACAGGCCAAGGAACTTGTGGAACGTATTCAGGACAGCAAGGACACATACTAAAAATCGAACAGTATCTTCTGAAAATTTTAGAAATAATAAAAGTGGATGCTTTTTAAGACTAGTTGATAATTGTATATATGTCCCTATAGATTAGAACTTTTCTATGGCAGGTGTTTGTGCAATGTAAAACTGCCTGTGACTGCCACATACTAGCGACTCTTCACATCTTGCTTTGTAGACACTTCAAACCCTCAAAATGTAAGGGATTTACTTGTTCATTTAAATTCCACATCACAGATATGCTTCTGTATACCATGGTTTTATGTTGATTAGCGCCACATCTGATCACAAGACATGTTTGATCTGGATCCAGGCTTGAGCTTTTAATGAATTGTTCATGACATGAGGCAGAGCATGTGATATGGTGAGGATACCAGCTGCAGGAAGACATGCAACACCTAATCAAGCACGGGGCTAGAGCAATGTCATTGAGTGATAACTGGTCCAGCAGAAATTCTTCTGAGACAAAGTTTCACAGTATTTGGAACAAAATTGAACTGGTAAAATAAGTTTGTATCCATGTAGTGCTGCCTTTAACAACAAGTTGTTTCTTCACAGGCCACTGATTCTGGCAAACCATCGCAATCTGCAAGCCTAGTTCTAAGCATCACTGTAGAAGACGTGAATGACAACCCACCAGTGTTCCCCCAGAAATCATACTCCGTGACTGTAAAAGAGAATGAGCCTCCACATGTGGTACGTGGCATTGAGAATAAAAAGGCTGTTCTGCAATTGCTTGCTTTCTGTAAACTTGGAAGTGGTAGGAATCTATGATGGCTGTGCATTGGTGAAGGTACTCTTTTTACTTTGTGGAGCCTGTAAAATCACAGAGCATTTTTGTTTTATGACAGTGGAATGCCTGTCCCACTGACTCTTCCTAAAGCTCCCTTTGTGCTGCTCTCCCTTTCCCTCCTGTCCCCAGCAATGATGCCACACTGCATGGATCTAGTTTTCACAGGACCTATGGGCAGCATGTTTCAAAGAGGCTGTAGGTGTTGCGCATATATCCAGCATCCCCCTGTTCTTAAGGTTTTCTGTCTTCTCCCAGTGTATCTGTTTCTGGCTCCACATCTGCCTTGGAGATGTGGACTAATGGTTTACAGGAATGAAGGGAAGAGTTACCATCTACAAATACGTAACATCTGGTACCAGCCCTGCTCTGTGCTGCATCAGTATTCTAGCAATGCAATTAATGGCCATATGAGTAATTTAGTCAGTAAGCAGTATATATTTAAACACCACTCTCTTTGTTCTGCACTACACCTGGTGGGTTTTGCTGTTTTGTTTTTGTTTTTTCTCTCATTTAGATTTTGAGTGCAGCAGCCACAGATGAAGATATAGGGTACAATGCCATTATTCATTACATCATAATTGGAGACACTTCTTCATTTCATGTTGGAGAACTTTCTGGAAATATTACAACTCTTCAACCTCTGGACTATGAAAGTTGTTCCCAGTATGCATTTATTCTGAAAGCTTTCAATCCTGGAGAGCCATATGCCCAGGACACAGCAAACATTACAGGTAGCTCTGGTTTAGCACAGAAAATTTACCTTCATTTCTCTTGGGGAATATTTCAGCATGTGTAATTACGAGGCATAGAGATAGCCTACAATCTGCTAAAGTAAATTATCAGAAATGATGATGTGACCTTTTCACTATAGCCATATGAAATTCTTCTCAAAAACTGTTTGGCTCGTCAAAAATGAAGATTTTTCACGCAAACTGACATGGCTTACTTCAATGTATTCACAAATTTTTCTATGGCATTTTCTGAGTACCTATTGACATTTTGATTGAAAAGGTTTCCAAAGACATAATTCAGTTCTTTTTCTGCTTGTTTATAGAAAAGCCTGCTTCTAGGGTGGTAAAAAGAATGTTGACAATGATTTTTAGTGTTGTTAAAATAACAGTACTTCATTGCTGTTGGTTTTTAATTTAAAAAAAAAGAATCTCTTTTTCCCAACACAACATGAAAGATTTGTGTGAAGCTGGTATCCTAGTTTTTGGCCAGCCCTATTTTTGATCAGTATGACTGGAAGTATTGGTTTATTTATTACTTCTTGTTCTGTGATATTTATGTTACTGTACGGCCAGCTTCCGCTGACTGTGGACCATAACCCTATTGTGCCAGGTCATGTACAAATATAAAACTAAGCAATCCTGTCTTTGGCTGCAATGCAAGCCAAAGACTAGAGATAC